TCTTTTCTTAAGCAACTGTGATTCACTATTGATTGCCAAGAACCTAACATGTCATGCCTTCCCAAAAGGAGGATCTCCACAATTCAGAAAGTATTAGAAGTCAGGGACAACAGAGACTTGTAGTGAGGCTTGTAATGATCCTATGAAGTGATAAGATTTAAAAGCTTGACCTTGGCAAGACAGAATTAGGGGTACGCAAGCAATATCAGCACTCGTTTCTGTTCTCAAAGTGAAAAACAAAGCTCCATGCCTCTGGGGAGACTTCAGCAACCTGGTGGCTCAGAAGCGGTGAGACTGTCATTTTATTACAATGCAGGAGGAGGTCCAGGTGTGTATTATGGTGATGGAGTTGGAAACTATCTCTGCACCTCAGCAGCTCTCTCAGAGGACTTCCCCAGACTCATCAAGAGAAAGGAGTGGTTCCCAGACCTCTGAGGGCGAAGCAGCAGTATAGCTTCTAACAGTGCTATGATGATTAAAGTGATGTCCAAGATGCTTATCTCAGAAGGAGCAGGAGTTAATGTGGAAGGTAACTGAGACCATGAGCCAGGGAAAGAAAACACAGCAGACATGTAATGTCCGTGCAAACGAGAAAGGCTAAACTCTCAGGTATGAGCTTTTAAGGATTAGAGAGCAGCAAGAAAGAGATGGAGAATAATACAGAGACAGCTAAGAGTTCTTGTCCTAAATTGCACACATGTAACTCTGTGTGAATAGCAGTATTTAGATACAGCACCAAGGTGCCACTCAGTTTGGGTTTATTGCCACAACGTCACATTATATAACGGACATCAAGGAGCAAGCACAGAAGTTTCATCAGACAGGAAGTTGAAAGGCAGATACCATTGAGTCATGGTATGATACGATGGTTTAGGGTTCTGGTGGATGGCTCAAAAGAGCAGGCAATGAAAGATCAAGGGTTCAGGCACAATGACTGGACCATGAATTCAGGGCCATGAATCCTAAGACGGGTTCCCAAATAGTGGGCAGAGGACTATCAGGAAGAGCAGGGGATGCTCTTGGGCCACCCGCCCTCTGAGGTTACAGCTTCCTGTATTTTCCTCACCACGGTCTGTTGCCACTGTCAGAGCACGTTCAGCCAATGAGAAATGACTGGAAGGCAGAGTCAGAAGTCAGGGAGTAGGGTGTTCAAGACTTGGAACCCTGATGTCATCAAAGAGAGTCGCTTTGATGCTCATAGGTGATCTTTTTAAAATTTTTTTTAAATTTAAATGTATTATTAATTTCAGTAAAAATTCACAGAGACTTTGGATTTCCATTCACTCACTGTTGCACTTTTCTCCCATCCCAACCCTCCCCCCTAGTACACTACCCTCTTGGGAAAGTAAAAGAAAAATTCTTCCATTGTTTTACAAACCCTCCCCCAAGTCCACTCCACTATGCAGCCTTCGCTCTAGACTCCTGTCAGGACAAAAATTCCTAATAACATATCCCTTTTAAACAGTTTTCTCCCTCATCTCTTTCAATGCAGTATACATTATTGAACCCATCTTTCTCAGTCTTTCCCCAACCCCAAGGTCACACTGTTGTGCCACTGTTGGCACCATGCAGTATTTGTCCTTTTGTGACTGACATACTTCATCCAGCATAATGTCCTCCAGAGTCACCCATTTTGAATAATATTGCATGAATTCCTTGTTTTTCAATGCAGCATAGTATTACATTGTGTGAATATACCACAGCTCTCTAGCCATTCGTTTGGTGATAGGCACTTAGGTTGTTTCCAACTCCTTGCTATTGTGAGCAAAGCTGCAGAAAACATGGGTGTGCAAAAATCTGCTTGGATGTCAGTTAAGGTCTCTTTGGGATATATTCCCAGTAGTGGAATTTCTAGGTCAAATGGTATCTCTATTTGCAACTTTTTGAGAAAGTGCCATACCGCCTTCCATAGTGGTTGCACCATTTTACACTCCCACCAGGAATGAATAAGGGTTCCAATTACTCCACAAGCTCTCCAGCATTTGTTGCTTGTTGTTCTGTTAAATTTTGCAATTTTGACTGGGGTGAGATGATATCTCATAGTTGTTTTAATTTGCAACTCTCTTAGAGCTAGGGATTTTGAACATTTCTTCATGTGCTTGTTAGCCATCTGAAAGTCTTCTGTTCATATCCTGTGCCCATTTTTCAATTGGATTATTTGTCTTGTTGTGTTGTGCAAGTATTTTATAAATTCTGGATATAATTCCCTTATCTGATATGTCATTACCAAATACTTTTTCCCAGTCTGTGGCTTCCCTTTTTACCCTGTTGGAGAAGTTTTTTGATGTGCATAGGGATTTGATTCTTAGAAGATCCCATTCATCTACTTTATCTTCTCCTGGTTGTAGGGCATAGATGATCTTATAATTTCCTATTATTTCTTTTTATGTCCAACAACAGCCTGAGGAGTACAGTAGCAGTTAAACCTTTTTCCTTGTTCATTCACTCCCTTGTTGGACCCTGTTGTGTTGTTGTTAGGTGCCATCAAGTCAACTGTGACTATCAGTGACTCTGCACAATAGCTCTGAACCCTGCTCTATCTTGTTCCAATCTCACTGTCTTTGACGTACCTTTCCCATTAACTCAGTTATTACATCAATCCATTGCTTCCAGGGTCTTCCTGTCTTGTGATGTCCCTTGCCCCTTCTGAGTATGATGTCCTCCTTCAAGGACTGGTCCCTTCTTGCAACCTATCCAAAGTATATGAGCCAGAATTTCAATACCTTTGCTTCCAAGGAACAGCTTAGTTTTACCCTCTCCAGGATAGTCCTGTTTATTCTCTTCACAGTCCATAGTATGCCCAATACTCTTCTCCAGCACCATGACTCAAAGGCATTAATTCTTCTTCTGTCTTCCTTGGTCATTTTCTGGCTCTCTGATGCATAGCAAGTAACTGTGAAGACCACGGCCTGGATCAATCAGGTACACCTTAGTCTCTAGACTGACATCCTTGCTCCTCAGCCCTCAGGAGAGGTCCCTGACAGAAGATTTTCCTAATGCAATTCATCTTTTGATTTTCCAACTGCTGATGCTGTGTGGACTGTGAAATTGAGCAAGTTGAAATTGTTAACGATCTCAATCTCCCTCTATCATGATGCTGCCAATGGGCTCAGTGGTGAGAATCTTCATCTTCTTGCTGCAGAGCTTCAATCCATATTGCAAACCACAATCCTTGACCCTCTAAAGCAAGTGCTTCAGCCTCTCCTCCATTTCAGCAAGCAAGGTTGTGTCATCTGCATAACACAGGTGGTTTATGAGTCTTCTTTCAGTCCTGATGCCACATTCCTTCCCTGGCATGCCTAAATAACTTGGCCAACTTCTCATCCTATCAAGATCCCTTAAATACACTGCCATCTCCTAATCCTAACAGGGTCCTCTGACAATGCTATTCCTCAATTACTATTCACATACACATAAATCAAGGCAATTATTTGTTTTACACTGACTGTCACCCCTTATGAAGATGTTGTTGTGTACTTTCCAAGTTGGAACTGTCCTAAATTTAACCCTCTAGTGGGTTTTCAGAGGCTGTCAATCACATGGGAGACTTCCCATCCTTCTCCTACCAAGCAGCTGGCAGATTCAAGCCAAGCACCTTTACGCTGGCAGCACAATTCTTACCACTAAGCTGCCACCAGAGCTACAAACCTAAGTATTTCCCAATGACTCATGATGCAGAGCTGCACCAGATGCAGCAATTTATTTGACTGCCTCAGTCGATACTGATTTACACAGAAGACTCGACTTAGCAGTTTTGTATTTTCCTATTTATTCCCCTTTAATCATTTTAGTCATGTTGACTCCTAGATCAATGGTATATCCTGTTTGTTTTAGTTTCAATCTAGGCCCACTGTCCCTTGACTTAGGAGCCTGGTGGTGGAATGGTTAAGCAGCCACCTGCGAACTGAAGCATGGGCAGTCTGAACGCATCAGTTACCACGTGAGAGAAAGGTGGCAAATATCCTTCCGTAACGATGACAGCTGTGGGAGCTATTTGGGGAAGCTCGATTCTGTCTTAGAGGATTGCTCTGAGTTGAATCAATGGCAAGTTCTATTGGTTTGTTTTTATTGGGTTTTCCCCCCTACTATTCTTCACCCACCTTAGAGTCTTGGGAGGCACAAATGGTTTGCACTCAACCTTAAGCCAAAAGTTAGAGTAGCTTCAACCCAACTTGCAGGGAAAAAAGTCCCAGTGACCTTCTTATATTAAGATCTTAGCCAAGAAAACCCCTCAGAGCAGTTCTTTATAACACACGGGTCACCATGACCAGAAATTGACTTGATGGCAGAAAGAAAGCAATTTTTCTTTACTCCTAAAAGAATTACTATGAACTATGAAAGAAGGAAATATCAGAATTTTCAAGTTACTAGGATTACTTAACTTTCTTTAGATTTTTTTCTGATTTGCATATTTGGCTTAATCTCCTTGATAAATTCTCAAACCCTGAGCAGCACAAGATAAAATTCTCTCAAGCCTTAGTTCACGGGTCTGGTGAACTGCTACACACCGCCATTTGGGGAGCTGATTCTGACACACAGGGGCTCTGCACTGGTTTCCCAGGATTGTACATCTCATACTGCCCACCCTTTCCCGGAAGTGCAGCACAGCCTAATGTATCAGGCTGTTAAACTGATATGCTGAATACAACATGGACTTCCAAAAGGAGTTGAGAGTTCCAGTCCAGTGCTCCTAGGGAGAAAGATGGGGCAGTCTTCTCTGCCAAAGATTTATAGCCATGGACATCCACTGGAGAGTCAGTCTGAGTCAGAACCAACTGACAGCAGTGGGTTTTCTCTTGAGGAGCAGCTGGTGGCTTTGAACCATGGACCTTTAGTTAATCAGTCCAACTCGTAACACACTACATCATGAACTGTTTAATGATTCTATTTAAAATAACTTTTGGAAGTGTTGCTGAGCTAGTCACATGCTGTCACAAGGCTTCACATCTAAAGCCTCATGTTTTAAATGTTACAATGGACCTCGAGCAAAGGACAAATACCTCCCAAACATGTGGCTGTGCAAGGAGTAAAGCCAGCGTACTCCCAGTCATAAGTCATCTCGCTGTCCTCCTCCTGGACCTTGGCATCCGGCTTTCGGGAGGCAAGGCTCTCCTCACACACTTCCAGTATGCAGGGTCGCTCTGTGGATGGCTTGGGGCCCTCACACTCCTCCTCGGGCAACTCGGTCTCTGTCTGTGTGAATGTGAGAAGGACGCGACACTTCACGTCTCGGACTTGAATGCCTGGTCCACATGTGGTACTGCAGGTTGACCAGGGCTCTGGGATGAACCTACAGAAAACCAGAGAGCCATGCCAGTTATTACAGGGTGTAACAAAAGGCATTAGAAGCAGTCTTGGAAGGAAAAATAACTAGCTTCATTCAAAGGCAATACCATACACTTAGAATCTTATGTTTCTGTTGACAACAAATTATGCAGTTCACAAACCCTTAAATCTTGATAGAAACACAGAATTTTTCACTAAAGAATACGTAATAATTTATACGTTTTGTCATGACTTCTACAAAACATCATTATAAAGATTTTTTGTAAAACTTGATAATAAAGAAACCATTATGCAAAGATAATTTTAGATCTAACTTCTATTAAAAATGGGGACTTTCACAGTACTTATTCAACCAATTCTAATTAAGTTTATTCTTTACAGCAGACAAGGCTTTACTATTTTAAAAATTAGAAGCTAATATGTAAGGTTAGGTGCTATCAAGACTTGTCTGATGTACAGTGACCCTACGTACAACAGATCCAAACCCTGCCCAGTCCTGCACCAGCCTCGGTCTCTGCTGCGCAGTGCTGCAGTCATTCTTCCCATTCACCTCACTGGGTCTTCCTTTCCTTCTCTGACCCTGCGCTTTTTCAAGCATAATGCCCTCTCCAATGACTGGTTCCTCCTGATCACATGTCCAAAGCACGTGAGATGACGTCTCCTCTTTCTTGTCTCTAAGGACCACCCTGACTTTGCATCTTCCGAGATGGTTTGCTTGCTCTTTTGACAGTCCATGGGATACTTAATACTCTTCACCAAAACCCAATTCAAAGGCATCAATTCTTCTTTAGTCTTATGCAATAGGTTGTGTTGTACCACACTGAGTCAGAAACCGAGCCATAACAGATCCTCTGGTTGTAAGAATCAAACCTCAGCTTATGCTAAAGTGCAGCTACAGTGCAGCTACCTCTGCTCCTCCTCCTTCTACCTTATCTTATATAGAGGCAAAGTTTTCTTCCTTATAAGAGCATAAAGAACTTCTCTGCATACCTGCACCTAAAGCAACCAATAAGATTCAAATATTTAAGTAAGCTGACTACTCAACAATCAGACCCCAACAAGTCTCCAGACCACCTCCCCTGCACTATGGCCAACCAATCGGAAGCGAGCCATTATACCAGCTGCTCCAGATAGCCAACCATAGCTCAAGTAGACAAAAAAGTAAAAAGGTATAAAAGGGAAAGCTTGCTTTGTCTCGGGGCTCTCGCGGGATGCTGCTGTGCCAGCCCACCAGGGCCCGAGTTTGAACTTGAAAGAAACTTTGTTAATTTGGTAATTGGCTTGGTGATCCTTTGTGGGGACTCGCTCAGTTAGTTACACTGGTGAGTTTCCAGAGGCAGTTAATCACACGGGAGTTAGTTGCCCCTCTTTTTCTTGTGCTCAATTTGAACTATGTGCCTTTGTGATTGCAGCGCAGCTTCTTGCCAGTAGGCCACCAGAGCTCCATAAGGCTAACTTAGTATTCTTTTGTGATTAATATAGAAGTACACTATATTCTTGAATTTTCTTGAAAATATGAAACCTATTGTGCAGTCTTGCTGAAGAAAGTGGTTATTTCTTACCCTGAACTCAGTAGTCATTGCTTTTGAGTCAGAATCAACCCTATTAGCGTTGCAAGGCTGTCAAATGACACAAGAGTTTCTCCCATGAAGCCACTGATGGATTCCAATTGCCACAGAGACATGGTTTTTGAGATAGCAACATCTTTCTTTACAGACTAGGCTTCCAGAGCTCCAATACTTTGAGTTGCTATTTGGGCATGCTGTCAGGAGGGACTAGTCCTTAGAAAAAGAAAGACAAATAGAGAAACAGAGAAAGACCTTCAACTAGAAGGACAGATGCAGTGACTGTAGTAATGGGCTCAGGTAGATCAGAGATCATGAAGAGGGAGCCTGGCAAGGCAAAGTCCAGATCTATTATTCAGTAGGTTGTTATGAGTCATAGTTGACTCAGCAGCACCTAACAACAACAACAAAATCAAGGATTGGTTAACTAGGCTGCAAACAAAGCCAGACTGCTTGTTTCTGTATATCCTACCAGGTAAGGACAAATTTGATATATTTAAATGGTTAAAATATTAAATTAAAAAACTGTTTTATAATTAATGAATATTATGTACCACAACAAGATAAAAGTAAATAATCCAATAAGAAAGTGGGCACAGGATATGAACAGACACTTCACCGAAGAAGACATTCAGATGGATAACAAACACATGAACAAATGTTCAAAATCCCTAGCTTTAAGAGAGATGCAAGTCAAAACAACTATGAGATATCATCTCACCCCAGTCAGAATAGCAAAATTTAACAGAACAGCAAGCAACAAACGCTGGCAAGGCTGTGGAGAAAATGGAACCCTTATTCACTCTTGGTGGGAGTGTAAAATGGTGCAAACCCTGTGGACAGCGGTATGGCGTTTTCTCAAAAAGTTGCAAATAAAGATACCATTTGACCCAGCAATTCCACTACTGGGAATATACCCTAAAGAGACCATAACTGACATCCAAGCACACCCAAGTTTATTGTGGCTTTGTTCACAATAGCAAGGAGTTGGAAACAACCTAAATGTCCATCACCAAACGAATGGATAGAGAAGCTGTGGTATATTCACACAATGGAATACTATACTGCATTGAAAAACAAGGAACTTATGCAATATTATTCAAAATGGGTGACTCTGGAGGACATTATGCTGATCGAAGTATCTCAGTCACAAAAGGAAAAATACTGCATGGTGCCACTGTTGTAAAACAGGAGTGACCTTGGAGTTGGGGAAAGACTGAGAAAGATGGGCTCAATAATGTATAGTGCATTGAAACAGATGAGGGAGAAAACTGTTTAAAAGGGCTATGTGATTAGGCATTTTTGTCATGACAGGAGTCTAGAGCAAGGGCTACATGGTGGAGTGGACCTGTGGGAGGGTTTGTAAAACAATGAAGGAATTTTTCTTTTACTTTTCCAAGAGGGTGGTAAACTAGAAGGGAGGGTTGGGAGGGGAGAAAAGTGCAACAATGAATGAATGGAAATCCAAAGTCTCTGTAAATTTTTCCTGAAACTAATAAATTCAAATAAAACAAAAAATTATTATGTAAAATATATATGTGTTTTTCAATGAATTGTATTGGAACATAGTCACACTCATTGGTTTACACATCATCTAGAAGATTTGTCACCACTGCTACATAAACTATTTCAGAATGCAGAATAGGATGGAATAAGCTCAGATTATATGTAGCGAACACAACTCATACTAAAACTAGGTAAAGACATCACTAAAAAGATAATTATAGACAGTATCCTTCATGAATGTAGATGCAGAAGAGACATTTGACAAAATTTAACACTCCTTCTTGATGAAAATGCTCAACAAAGTAAGAATAGAGAGGAATTTCTACAGCACAATCAAAAGCATTTATACAAAACCAATATTGAACTTAACTCTCAATGGAGATTAAAGACATTGCCCTTGTGAATAGCAACCAGGAAAGCATGTTTATATCACAACTAATATTAGATATTGTATGAAAAGTCCCAGCTAGAGCAATAAGGTAAGACATCGAAATAAGAGGCATCCAAATAGGCAAATAGAAAGCAAAACTATGTAATAGTAAACATAGAAAATTCCAAGGATTTACCAAGAAAATGATTGAGCCTAATTGATCATTTCTGCAAAATGGTAAGATACGTGATCAATATACAAAAATTAATTTGATTTCTATACCATAACATATTTTGGTTGCCTTGGATTTGGTTTAATATTCCTCAGCTTTAGCTTGAATTTGCATATGAGTAGTTGGTGGTCTGTTACTCATATGCAAATTCAAGCTAAAGCTGAGGAAAGTTAAACCAAATCCAGGGAAACCAAAATATGACTTTGAGTCTATCCCACCTGAATTTCA